GAGGGATTAATAAAGTTCTATCTAATCTAATCTAAAATGTGGAAAAGTTCAAGGGGGTCGAATACTTTTGCAAGCCACTGTATACTGTTAAAGTGATATTATTATGTAGAAGCTCCATTTCCTTTTAGTAACATTCAAAACCGACCTGACTTGATGGCAGAAATCCTCAAGATGTTTCACAATGCACTATATCTGAACAACCACTAAAACAAAAAGAGCAAAATAGTTTGGAAAATACAAAGAAGACTGTTTTTGTAACATATAATAATTAGTTATTTACAGTTAAACTTATATTTGAGTTTTTTATATGGAAACCTTTAGAGTTCAATAATATTTCTAATCTTTTATGTTAAGAAACATTAATACTTTCAGTTTATATTTGCTAAAAACATAAAAACAAAACTACACCGACAAACATGTATCTTCTTTTAGCTTTTCTCCTGTTACTATAATGATCATGGCATATATACATATACCTCTTTATACCATCTCACCTCCTTAATGGGTGTGCCAATCATTGCCATACATACAGCATTAATTAACATCTATATGGGTTTTTTTTATGGTAAATGGGCTGGTTTTTACACGCTGCTTTTCTACTTTACTTGAGCACTGAAAGCACTTTAAACAACATGTCACATTCACACAAACACATTTTTTTCTTTGCCTAAGTGCTTTCTGTCTAGCATTCAAACACATTTACTCTCAGATGGATACATTGGAGAGCAATTTGGGGTTCGGTCTCTTACTGAAGGATACTTTGGCATGCAGGCTGGGGCAGTCAGGGATTGAACCACCAACCTTCCAACCAGCTGTATTGTAAATGCTATTTCTTCTGATTTTCATATTCATCATCCATCTGCAAACACAATGTTATGTCCTCAGTTTGCATTTGTTACATGTGTCACTTTAAATGTACTTTGCCAGTACATAACATAACAGTCACCAAAATTTGTATCTGCAACAGAATTTGATCCAGTCACCACTAAATACGAAATGAAGAACTTGCAAAAGCATCACTGGCCTATATACACAAATAATTGTTTTAAGGACAGGTTGGGCATTATGATTCCATGACAATTATAGAAGACCTAAATACATTTAAATGCATGATAGCATGCAGTAAATAAAATGACTACATCACTGATGGGTAATTTTGGTACTGTCATTTTAAGGGGCTGTATCTTTAAATGTTAGACTTCATTGATAGGCATGAGGAAATGATAATATTTGAGAGGGAAAAACTGCTGTTGGTGGTATTTGAGTGAACTTTTGCCAGTCTTTGTCTTTGATTTAAGCTTTTCTGTTCCAAATAGATGTGTTTAGCATCTGAAGCTGGAAAAATGGACACAGTTGCATCTCAGCCAGAAGACAGCTCCTCCACAGACCCTCTCCAACAAACTGCTATCAAGCCAGAGGTCAAGGAGGAGAGAGCAGACACTGACCTCTCCCCTGCCTCTCCTCACAAAGCAGCACTCTTACCTTCGCTCTACTCTCTCACGTCTACCTCCACTAATGCCATTCTCCCACAATTCAGCAGCCAAAATGCACTTGTCAAAAAAAAAGGTAAGAAAAGAGACGTGGCAAAGTCAAATGACAATGATGAGAGCCGGTGTTCATCAAAGAAAGTTATAAAGAAGGCTAACCCTTCAGAAAGCCTGGACAGTGTATTCAGTACAATCGAGTCAGTGGCTAAAGGGGTCTGTTTGGACACAGAGGAAAAGTCCAAGAAGAAGGATGACAATTGTCTTAGTGGTGGGTTGCCCAAAAAGAAGAGTAAGCCGAAAATCAAGAGCTTTGTCAAAGATGAAGAGGAGATGGATGACAGCAGTGGGCAGAGTGGACAGCACAGGTCCCCTGAGGTAGAAATGAAAGAAAAGTTGTCTGATATTGGCTCCAGGACAGAAGCAACAAACGTGGAAAGCACTGATTTCCAAGGACAGACAATAGAACCCCATAAGTCCTCTTGCAATCATTCACTTGTTAATCTTGAAGAGCACGACAAAGGAAAGGAAAGGTCAAGCGATGCAACTTGTGAGTCTAACACTGAAAATCGTGGGTCCAGGAAATCAGAGCGAACCTGTAAAGGCGCCTTATATAAAACTCTGGTCTCTGAGGGAATGCTGACTTCACTGAGAGCCAATATTGACCGAGGTATCTATTTTGATTCAAGAACGATGTGACTGATACATGTAAGGGGCAGAATTTAATTCGTGTTTTGCAAATATCTGCAGGTAAAAGAGGTATTTTCCGTACGTCTGATCATGACGCTAACTGGAGTGATGACAGCTGGACAGTTTCACAGATAGGACCTAATTGTCCCAAGAAGCTCAAGAAGTCCAAGTCCAAAGACGAGTCTTCTCAGGGGTGAGTTGGCTTTTCTTACAGTCATTCTGAGGAATAGGAGTAAGTAACTTAATCCTTCATTTTTAATCCAAGTATCATTCTCACTCTTGTGGCCCGTAGTAACTTGAAAATATAATTATATATAGATATATTTGTAATATTGGTCCCAGATAAAAAGAGAGGTCAATTGAATCAAAGTTTGAAATAAACTTTTTGGGGGGGCGGGGGGTGTAATAATTTTGCCTGTATTTATACATCATATTAGCACTATTCCACTTTTGTGTGTATGTGTTTAGATTTCCTTTGGTGAATAATTAAAAGGTTTTAGAATATATATGTAATACTGACAAAGCTGTAATAGAATTCCTGTCTGGAATGCTTTTAGAGCAGCGGTCCCCAACCTTTTTTGCGCCACGGACCGGTTTATGCCCGACAATATTTTCACGGACCGGCCTTTAAGGTGTCGCGGATAAATACAACAAAATAAAACTAGTACCGGTACCGAAAAAAAGAAGATTTATTCATAACACACGTGAAAAGACCCAGGAAAACCGAGTTAATGATAAAAACTATAACAAAATAACGCTGAAAACTGATAAAAACCCTGAAAACCATACATTTCACACCTGAGCCTCTACTCTCGCGGCCCGGTACCAAACGC